AATAAATCATTTTTATTATTATTATTCAAAAAAAGGAAAACAATGTTCCCCCGATTCAATAACTTTATAATAATAAAAAAACATTTTTGTATAATTTTATTTGCAACACAACAGTAAAATTACAATACTAATATTTATGACTGTCCTAATTTCTTTGCTTTCAAACGTTAAACCATTGAGTCTTTATTTTGGCGGAAAATATCTATGATTACGAATATAACCATGGTTCCCTGAGAAGGGGAACGAGATACAGCGTCTTGGATCGGCACTATGGGGAACGCCATCAGTGTGGCCGGTGTCTAAAGCATGTGTATACACACGACAATTACATTGGCTGACGACTGTCCATGACGTCACTACCAGAGCTCCCACGTGTATAAGAGGGCACCTGCAATAGACGTCATACATTTTTTTGTCTGAAGGAGACGTGCAGACAGTTCTTGTCCTCCAAGAAGCAAAGTGTGATGGTGTAGCCTTTACCACAATGTCTGCAACGTCCACTATTTTGTTCATATCTTATGACACAAACTTTTGGAAATACTCAAGTAGTGTATGAAAGGAGATGGCATCAATAGTGATATCCTGACCTGAAAAATCAGTTTTGGGACCGTCACGGGGCATGGCCTGTGCTCTTGAATGACTTGATTTTGTTGGCTTGATGTCCACTTAATCATCAGATGGTCATTGGTTTTTTTTATTGTCCTTTTCCAGTTCACAGGGATCTCCACATTCCTCTTTATCAATTGCATATGAATCCAGCATCAATGACATCATACACTTTGTGGATAATACGGTCTTTCCTGGCTGGTGGCATTGTGAAATGGAAAAAAAATCACTGGTTATTTTCCATATCCCTATAATTACTGTAAAGAATTCACACATTACAGTCTGGCTAGCTAATTGTGTCCTCTACTTATCATGCCAATATCAATTATACACTTATACCACTGTAGTCACTTGGACTATTTTAACAATGTTTTTACTAACTTTTGGGCTGGCAAGTTTCAATTACAATAGAAGCCTATGGAGGAGTGAGACAGCTCTCAGATTTATTAAAAATATCTTAATTTGTGTTCTGAAGATGAACGAAAGTCTTACTGGGTTGGAACAACATGAGGGTGAGTAATTACTGACAGAATTTTCACTTTTGGGGTGAACTAACCCTTTAAAGCATTCAACAGAACCTTAATATCTGCATGATCTAGACATATTACTAATCACATAAAAAAATATTTTGGGCATTTGACTTACTTGAATGTTGATTTATTCAGTGCAGTAAAATATGATGATGTGCTTCTAGGCAAGTTCGCAGGTTGTGTGAGTTCATGGCCAGGTGAAAAGGCCTATTCATCAAATATTCCATCCAATAGCATTGCAAGGCTAAACAATAGAACCTATTAGTTGTGTAAATGTGGTCTTAAGCCCTATTCGGACGGTAATTGTTTCTCATAACTCATAAGTTATTCTTCAACATTTACAGGGGTTAGTCTGTGATTTTATTGCCGTCCGAATCCAGAATGTCAGGTTTTTTCTCCAACCACCCGTGTAAAAATCTCCGGCCGAATTACTTACTGTTTTTTTGACAAACACCAAGGTCGTGTGGTGATTAAATTGCTGTCCGAATCCACATCTCTGAGTTTACAAGAAGAGATCATTTCAAAATTCACTGTTTAAATCCTTTTTGATCACTGCTGAGCACCGTACGTATGATAACTGTTGCACTTAACTGTAATTTGCATGCATTTTAGAGATGTACACTTTTATTACTGAAGAGCTGGAAAGTATTTAAAAGAACAATATTTCATTTAAAAAAATAAGAATTAAATAATAAGTAGAACATTATTTTCCTATTATTAAATTAAATACAAACTCATGTCCACATGAGAAACAATTACCGTCCTTACAGAGAGAAAAAACATCTGCAGGTTTATTTTAGTAGAGCTAAAACTTATGTTGTAATATTACAACAGTGGGCCTTACAGGGTTAAGGAAGAACAGAGCTGAAGCTTCTTCAGAGCTTCTCACCAAGCTCTTTCTGTCAGTCTTGTGAATGCATCATAATGAGCACATCCAGATTTCTCGAGGAGCCAAATGTGCTCCACTCGTAGCATTTGTTTTACATACGCATTCAAACAAGCATCTCCTGTAGACAAAGAGTTGATGACATCTATCGCCAGGTTCCCTCTTATACTCCAATCAAAGCACTCACTGCCCTCTCCCAGCTAATTAAGTGCTGAGACCTATATATCAGTAAAAAAAATGCAAAAAAGGTCTGACCTCTAAAAAAAATACTTTTGTTAGTTTCAAACAGGAGATTTAAAATAGTACAATCGTTCCAGGTATTTGCCTTTGTCAGTGTAACAATTTCACTTGTTCTCAATAGTTATGCACGCTACAGGTCTTCAGGTGATCATGATCATAACTAAATAATCAAGTAATCAGTCCACAGACTCTAGTTTAACTCCATCTGAAACAGCAGGCGCATATAACGGTGACAGGTCGAGTGGCAGGCGCATATAACTGTGACGGGTTGAGTGGCAGGGACATATATAACGGTGACGGGTCGAGTGGCAGCTGCCCCTAGCGGTGACGGGTTGAGTGACAGGTCGAGTGGCAGCTCTCCCTGCCATGCAAAGATTTTACCCCTACTGCGCTCTTATACTCACGGGCACTCTGTGACGTCATGGACTGTCGTCGGCCAATGTAATTGCCGTGTGTATTCAGACACCGGTCCCAGAGAGACCTTGAAGCTTCCGTTTTGTTCACTCAGGTTTGTAAATGTGTCTCTGTCAGCTGATGGTTAGAGAAAATCTTTTTAAAACCACACTTCCCATAACAATGTAACATGATAAGTTACTTTTTAGTAACAAAATAGTGCAACACGTGACTTATAAAAGCTAACATTCCCCAACACTGCTTACAATAATCATTAATTTTCTTAATTGAACCTGAATGTCTTTTTGGAAAAGCAGATGCTGAACAAAAGAGGGAGAATATCACTACACTCATCCGCCAAGCACAAACCGGACTTTTGCTGGAAGACAAGAGCAGTACTCTGATGCAGAAGGGCAGCAGGTGTGGAAAACCCGTAGCCAAGAAAAATCTCTTTCAAGCACTACTGTTTTGTTTTTTAACCTTGTGCTGCATGCATTTTTTATTTGACATATGGAAACAATTTTAATCAGTGTTATTTTAATATTATTTGTATGCTATTTTAGTTTTTTTTTTTTTTTATTCTCGGTTTTTATTTTAATTTTGGTTTAAGTTTTGGTAATTTTGTTCTTCTGTCACTGTATATATATATATATATATATTTCAGTAATTTATTTATTTTAGTTTGTTTTATTTTACAGTAACAACACTGATTTAATGTTTTGGGGTTTTAAAACAAGAAAATAATGATTCCATATCTAATAAAATGTAATTAATAATTCTGAATCATTCATTCTGATAGAGTTACACATCTGTAGTGGTCACCATGCATTAGATGTTTAACTGTTAATGGGACATTAATTGTGAATATTCAGTTCTGAATAACGTGTTGTTTTGTAGAACATGGTCAGGCATTTATTACTTTGGATCCACTGACGACAGCACATTTCATAAACAAGCTCAGGAAACGGCCACCATCACAACTGCTAAAACCACACTAGGGCATCTTAAGACCATTGAGGTGCGAGATGCCATGCATGAGGTAAGTTTATTTAAAATTAGTTCTGTTCTCGTCTAAACATGTCTATTAGAGCATGAAAATAGGTTTTTATGCACTTTTGTGGATCAGCATTCAACAACTGTAAATAAGATTTATGCACTAGCATTTACAACAATACCATAAGCTCTATTGGAGCTGTAACATCATGGTCTGTGACATCATGCATTAGTAATTTGCTAGGAGCAGCCTTTTTCCTATTTTTATTTTTGTTGCATCTAAAGCAGAAACACTGCAGCAGGCTGAATGTTAAAGAATATGAACATACATAAATATAAAACAAGTGTTGTGCCTGTGTTAAAGGAATAGTTCACTTCAAAATGAAAATTCTGTCATTTACTCACCCTCAAGTTTTTCCAAACCTGTATGAATTTCTTTCTTCTGTTGAACATAAAAGAAGATATTTTGAAGAATGTCGGTAACCAGACAGTTGATGGACCCCACTGACTTCCATAGTAGGAAACAAAAAATACTATGGAAGTCAATGGGGCCAATCTTCCTTTGTGTTCAACAGAAGAAAGAAATTCATATCGGTTTGGAACCACTTGAGAGTGAGTAAATGATGACAGAATTTTATTTTTAAAGTGAACTAATCCTTTAATCTTCCCCCAGCTCTATGGGCAGAGGGTTCAAGGGGAACTGGACAAAAGCCAGCGAGAGTGTGACACTCAGGAAAGACAGCTGAAGCAGTGGCATGACCACTGGCAGAGTCAGCTAACAACCCTCGCTTCACTCAACTCTGAATGACCATGAGACCTTTATGAACACTGACAGTTTAAGCCAAGGCATTAAACACCATGAAAGAGAGGAGACACTACAATGGATTTGTCTTACAGGAACAACTGTGCTTTCACCACTCAACATTTACACGCTTATCTATTCCATGTTGCCTGATTCATTTAATCATTAATATAATGGCTGTTGATATGAATATGCTAATACAAAATTTGTTATGATAAAAATGTTTATTCCATTTTCAGTTTCTATTGTTTAGTGTTGTGCAAGGATTAAATAAAAATAAATTCTAAGAAATTCAACATCTCAGTTCAAAGTCCATAAAAACAGTACAATAAAACTCCAATACAAACAGAATATGTAAACATAAGCTCATGATAAATTAAGCACTAAAATAGCGCTTTGCAGTCCGTTTGTTTGAGAGTTTTGAGATTCAGCAGCATGAATTCTCATTGTAGACATTTTCAATATTTATGTTTGAGTACAAGACCCTAAAAAACGTGTTTCATAGCTCTCTGGAAATCCAACGACACAACCAAAATGTCATCATAAACTTATGGAAGCTGCTGTTCTTTAGGAAACATTTTTAGCGTTTTCGCAGGAGAATATCCCAACTTTCTCTCCAACGTAGTGCAGCAAGCTCGTCTGACATTAACGCTGGCCGGCCGTAGGTGAGAGGACTCAAGTTGCGGTAGGACACATATACTGAACAAAGGACTGCCAAAATAACACCACCAAATGCTTTCTGTTGAGCTGGGGATCTGAGAAACAACATGACATACGGATATGAGCATAGACATGTGATTAACACTGGTGTGATACAATGATAAACATACAGGTTTTATTTAGATAGATAGATAGATAGATAGATAGATAGATAGATAGATAGATAGATAGATAGATAGATAGATAGATAGATAGATAGATAGATAGATAGATAGATAGATAGATAGATAGATAGATAGATAGATGCAAATTTCAACAGTGAACGTAAGATCTTCAGTAACTGATGATTTTTGGACAGAAATTACATCTCTTACCTCAGTACATGGATGTACAGGTGCTCTATGACAATCGGTATCTGCAAGATCTTGAAGGTGAGCGCTGGAAGATAGTGATACAGAAACAGAGTCTTCTCCATTAGGAAGAATGGCAGGTAATTAACTGCCCAGCCTCCAAAGCAAACAACACCAGCCAAAACCAGCTGTTCCCAAGCGTCTAAAAGAGAAGAAAAAGAAACAAACCATGGACTCTCTCTTTTCCAGCACTTTAGACACTGTTGCTCCTTTGCTTTTAAAGAAGATTAAGGAAAATAGTGGTATAATGAGCACACTCGCTTCACGCAGTGACTTAACAGTGACTTAAGAGAGTAGCCAGAAAAATGGAGAGCAGCTGGAAGAAAACAATACCTCTAGTTTGTTTTGTTAATTTCGTGGAAGTGTTACTGCATACAGAAAGGCCTTCAAAACTGCTAGATCTGCATACATTTAGACTCTCTAATTTGATACAGTGGCTAAATTAACGAGAAATAAAGCTTCAACTTCGGACGTTTCCAAACAGCACACATGTAACCGTCTACAACAGTATTGCGTCAGACTTCACCCTATAGACCCCCTGAGGAACAATTCCATTCATTCTTTACTATAGGAGAGGACTTGTTAAATCATTAAAGGGTTAGTTCATCCCAAAATGAAAATTCTGTCAGTAATTACTCACCCTCATGTTGTTCCAACCCCGTAAGACTTTCGTTCATCTTTGGAAGACAAATTAAGATATTTTTGATATCTGAGAGCTGGATCACTCCTCCATAGGCTTCTTAAAGGGATAGTTCGGCCAAAAATGATATTTAACACATGCATTACTCACCCTCAAGCCGTTCGAGATGCATATGTCAATCTTGTTTCAGACGAACACATTTTCAGTTATTTTCGAAAATGTCTTAGACCCTTCAGTGGATATAATGTGAAGCAATGGGGTCCACCTCCTTCAAGTCCCAAAATGTGCATACATCCTTCACAAAAGTAATCCATCCGGCTCCAGGGGGATAAACGAAGGCCTTCTGAGGGTAATCCGTGCGGTTTTGTCGTAACGTCACGACGGTTCCTACGCTACGTCCTACCTCGTAGGACGAGTAATTTAAAGTAATTAAAGTAATTTAATTTAAAGTAATTTAAAGTAATTAAAGACATCGTTAAAATAGTCCGAGTGCCTACAGTGGCTCAATCTTAAGTTTATCAAGCGACGAGAATACTTTTTGTGCGCAAAAAACAAACAAAAATAACGACTTTATTCAACTATTCATTTCCTTCTCTGTGGGCCATGAGATTTCACGTAGTGGAACTGCGCAACGGTTCTGTTGTACGTCACACGCAGGCTCACTATTGGGCGACGCTGGTCATGTGTGTGATGTGTGTGACGTACAACCTAGAAGCTTTGCGCAGTTTCACTACGTGAAATCTCGAGGCCCACAGAGAAGGAAATGAATAGTTGAATAAAGTCGTTATTTTTGTTTGTTTTTTGCGCACAAAAAGTATTCTCGTCGCTTGATAAACTTAAGATTGAGCCACTGTAGTCACTCGGACTATTTTAACAATGTCTTTCATAACTTTTGGGCCGGTCAGTTTCGATCCCTTAAGAAGCCTATGGAGGAGTGATCCAGCTCTCAGATTTAATCAAAAATATCTTAATTTGTGTTCAGAAGATGAACGAAGGTCTTACGGGGTTGGAACAACATGAGGGTGAGTAATTACTGACAGAATTTTCATTTTGGGGTGAACTAACCCTTTAAAATCAACACCATGTATGTTAGACCCTTTACCGAAAAAGCTACTGAAAGAGACTCTTCAAGAAGTCATTGATCCTCTTCTTAATATTATTAATTCATCATCATCATTGTCATTAGGATACATACCAAAAAACCTTTAAGCTGGCCGTTATTAAACCTCTCATTAAAAAAACAACCACATATTGATCTTAGATAATTAGTTAATTACAGGCTGATCTCAAATCACCCTTTACTGTAAAAGAATACTAGAAAAGGCAGTACCCTCAAAACTATGTTCATTCTTAGAAAGAAATGTTATCTGTGAGCATTTCCAGTCAGGATTTAAACCATATCATAGTACTGAGACTGCTATTATTAGAGTTACAAATTATTTGCTCCTATCATCTAATTGTGGTTGTATTTTTATATTAGTGTTACTGGATCTTAGTCATTCATTTCATACTATCAACCACAACATTCTTTTGAATAGACTCAAAAATTGCATTGGCATGGTTCAAACCATACTTATCTGACCGCTATCAATTTGTAGCAGTAAACAAAGAGGTATCATATCGATCACAAGTTCAGTATGGAGTACCACAAGGCTCAGTACTAGGACCGTCACGTGGCAGTATTTATAGGCACATACCTTGAGGAATGTCTTCAACTTTCCTCTGTCGCCTTAGCAAGTAGGTTAAAAACAGAAGACAGTACACCACCAGCACAAGGTTTGCAATGGTCCAAGTCACAAAATTCCCTATCAATTGAATTTGTGCCTGCATTAAAAATAGAAAAGATTAGACAGATTCATTCTGTTATCATTCTGACATAAAATAAAAACCAACAGAAGGATGTTGACGTACATTACTTGAAGGATGAAGCCAGTATGCAATGTTAGTGTCCATTGAGATCCATTCAAGAGGTGATGAACTATATTTGTGCTCGGAGTCTTCATTCTTTACTGTCAGCATCTTCCACTGTTACTCAAACATACATTAAGTGTATTCGTTCTACAACACTGGCTCTAAATGGCTTTTCTGACGATTGACATAATTAAGATCAAGATTAATATTCAATATTCACCTGCAGCTCAAGAAATTTGGCCATAAAAGTGAGGTTTCTGTGGACGTCGCCGTGAGTAGGTGACTTCAGCTCCAACTCCCTTTCCTTCTGTTCCTGACCTGTACAGATATGTGTTAAATTGAAAAAGAAGACATAAGCAATATGAAAACATTTACAGATGTTAATTCTCATACTTCTGCCATAGCGGTGCTCCTCCACGTTCCACATGCCACTCTGATGGTAACCTTTATGAATCTTATCCCCAACCACCTCCAGCTGTTTGAAACCCCACTCTGGCAGAGACGCTCCACTGAGCTGCAAAACATTACAAAACAGGTATAAATGACTCTCTTAAAGGAATACTCCACACAAAAATGTAAATTATGTCACCTTCATGTCATTCCAAAAATGACTTACTTTCTTGTATGGCACATAAAAAATATATTTTTATTTTTTCTCAATGAGCTACTGTTTGGTTTCCAACATTCGGTTACACTTCAATTTAGGGTCCAATTCTTACTATTAACTAGTTATTAGTGTGCATATTACTAGGATATTGGCTGTTTATTAGTACTTATAAAGCACAAATTAGTGCCTTATTCAGTATGACCATATTCTACATCCCTTAATCCTACCCAGTCCCTAAACTTAACAACTACCTTACTGACTATTAATAAGCAGCAATTAGGAGTTTATTAAGGCAAACGTCATAGTTAATAGTGAGAATTGGACTCTAAACTAAAGTGTGACTCAACATTCTTCACAACATCTTTTATGTTCCATGGAAGAAATAAAGTAAATGTGGACAGAAGTTTAATTTAATCCTTTTAAGGGCAGTAACAATAACTAAGTATATACCGATATGATAACACTTTAAAATAAGGTTCCATTAGTTAACTATATTAGTTGACACAAACTAACAATGACAAATACTTCTAAAGCATTTATTAATCTTAGTTGATGTTAATTTCAACATTTAAAGCATTATTAAAATCAAACGTGTTATTTTAATATATTATTTAATGGGCCTGAGCTAACATGAACCATCAATAAACTGCCCCTCAATAAAGTAATGTTATCAATGATTACCGTAATAAATAATACCATATCAAATGTATTGCTCATTGTTAATTAATAATATATAAAGTAAAAAAATTTAGTCTCAAATTTGATCAAGTTTACATTTTTCCTAAAACTGTATACTGTATTATTATGCTTAAATTCTTTTGTACACATTGTACAACTATACAAACCTTCAGAACAGCAGAAGTGTTCACATGGACTAGTCGCACCTCTGATAAAATCGTCTTCCAGATCTCTCTATCGGACTCCCTGTTCACTACGTCCTACAGTGCAATGAACACGATGCATGACAAAAACCCATTTTGAGTAAATGTGAATATTTATTATAGACCTCTGGGACAGAGATCTTACCACTCTCCATAGATTTTGAGCCGGCATAGACACATTAAAGTCAATGTATCCAGACACTTCCTGTGAGTGAGGACTCATGGGGGCTGCAACATCATGTCTTAAACAAAACACAGTCAGGTTATTGATTACTACCAATATTACAAACATTTTGTTTTATTATCATTGTTAATTTGTTTATTATTCCTTTTTTTTTTTTATGTTAACAATAATTATTTCATATTAAATGAAACTGGGTGGTGAAACTGTATTACGTGTTTAGGTAGCGAGATGTCATTCCATGTAGCAGCTGAATAATATCGCCATGTCTGACAGGTCTGGGTGGGCTGCTAACCACAAGACTCTGCCTGCGGTTTCAAATTACAATACAATTCATGTAAATATTTATCTGCAGACCATATATAGTTCATATGAACCATATGACCAACAAATACATACCGCCCAGGGTCTTTAATAATCCACCAGTTGTTGACGTCTTTGAAAGGATAGCAGGTCACCTGCTGCTGGTGGGAGCTACCGCGGCCGTTTTCATACCTTAGATAAGCATAGATAAACTGTAAAGATCTGCATGAAGATGTGGTGGTTTAGGATTACATCACCTTGAACCTGCAGCTTTGTGACTGCTGATGGCTCACCTGATTGGATAGTTAACCTTGTGGGAGTGAAGCCAACATGGAACAGGTTTACTGGACACGGTGCGGAGAGTGACCTGCGAGCCGAACGCTACATCCAAGGGCTGCCCCCGAGTGATCCGGGCTAGACCGCCCTTTATGGGAGAAATAAAGGAGATGACCATACAAACACATAAACGCTCCTGTGATGAGATTCACTATTCAGGTAGGTGACTATTACACTAACAAATCTTTTTAAATACATTATGCGCACTACTGTTCAAAAGTATTAGGGTCAGTAAGATATTTTTTCCCCCTTTTTTTGTTGAAAAAATTTAAGTCACCATGAAATCAGAATTGATGTTTTTTTTTACGGAATATTGCAGTATTTATTAACATCATTTTTTTGTCATGTGCCCTCGTAATCTTTAATCAAAATATCATTCCCTTCTTCTTGCAGTGACATCTCTTCTCTGATGATGTGTTTATTTGCATGAGGGCGGGACAACCTGTCACTCATTTGAGATCACAGCAATAGCAAACCAAAACCTAGTTTTTTTCCTTGTTTGAGAACCTGTTTCACTTGGATATAGTATGTCACAATAGGGAAGAAAAGACTTTTGTAACTTCCATTTCATAACAATTTTGTTCAGCAACAGTGCGTTAGATTGATCAAACGTGACATTGAAACACCTTACCGAACCCCAAACTTTCGAACGGTAGTGCACTTAATACAGGAATTTTATCTGTACCTCTAGACTTGCTTGAAAAGCACTGCTCATCATCTGGTCATGTGGTCCACTGCGATACAGCAGTGTAAGATGGACGTAGAAAAATCCAAGGTACATGATGATGGGTAACACCACAAGGGCCAGGAAGCGAACCAAAACCTGGACCACTACTTTGCCCTTTTGACATAGATGACAAAATCATAACGTTGTACCCATAGTGATGTGGATATTTGGTTACTATTACTCACATGGCTTAAGGTTCGATCTCCAATAAGTTGCCAGGTGTGTACAGCTGCCAGGCCTAGCAGTAACAAGTATGTGAATATACCCATGTACTTAACCCTGAAAAATAAGACACAGAAAAAAAAAATACTACTTGAATTTCATTCGCAGAGCAAGTTCAACCAAATTTTTAACACTTTTTGAAGAAAATGCAAGTGGTGCTTCACAAAAGTAATCTTACTGCACATACCCAATTCCATATGCACAACTGACCCCACAGATCACGAGCCAAAACCACCTAAAAGATGAACTGGAAGAAGAGAGAGAGCACATGACACACTTATGACCTTGAGTATGTCATCATCATTACAGCCACTGGAGGTTGACAAGACAATCCAGATTAGAGACTGACAAATCACATTAGCCAACAATACTTACTTGCGTGCTTTGTGGAAGCGGAGGTAAGACAGTACAGCTAACAGTAGGAAAAAGATTAAAACAGACTCCAGCAGCATGAAGCGTGATTGCACAATCATGGAATTTTCTGTTAAAATGAAACAAAAGTATTTAACCTCACATTTAAGAAAAACATCCTCATGCAATGGCTTGAAAATGATATGGTAAGTAGTTACCCATGAGGAGCAGCGCACTGCCCCCCAATGCTGAGAAGTGGGAATATCCCAGCTCCACCACCAGGAGATAAGCAAGTGGTATACAAAAGGATCCAGCAAGGGCCGGTATTATCCGAAGGCTCCAAACAGGAACATTACTGGTATATTCTACAATGGACCCCAATAATAATCAATAAGAGTAATGCAATTACTAAAGCCTGTGTAAATGTATGACAGTGTAACATGTAAAAAGTAAAGGGAAAGTTCAAATGTTGTCTTGACAAAGCCTTGCTTGACAGTTTAAAGGTTATACAGTATAAGTGTTAGTGTGTCGTGTAGTTTGAATACTTTGAGATTTGAAACTTGATGTATTCTAGATGATGCCAAGTGTTCACTAAGGTGCTCTGGCTGGTTGCTAGGACATTGTAAGGCAGTAGATTCTAGAAACATGAGTTTGATCTTTTAGGGAAGATACATAATTAGTCAGAACAGCAAGAAATTAATGACTGACTGTGTGCCAACTGCCAAGATAATTTCCATGCTATAGTGGTTCTCAACCAGGGCCCACTCGGGGGCCACAGGATGACTTAAAATTATTTAATTATATTCTTAAAAACTAACTTAATTAAAATAATCAAATTTATAAATCAGAATGATCTTTTTTTAAAATCTAAAACAGCAGAAAGTTTTGTGACAGGTAGGTTTAGGGTTAGGAGATAGAATATACAGTTTGTACAGTATAAAAATTACGTCCAAGTCCCCATAAAACATGGAAACCTGTGTGTGTGTGTGTGTGTGTGTGTGTGTGTGTGTGTGTGTAAAAAAGAGTGAATAAATGCATTAAAAAACAGTCAAATGTTTCACTGTTAATTGCATATTAAAACAAAGTACAATTAAAATCCAATGTAAATGGCTTTGAAATGTAAGATATGTCAGTGCAAGCTGCTTTCAGGTAAGACAGCTCAAATATGCATTTTAGTCAGGAACTAGGCTCCAAGTCTATCCACCAAGGGGCCCTGGCCATAACATAGTTTAATATAACTCTTCTATAAACAGTTAGTCAGAACAGGGTTAGTGACACTAAAAAAACTGGAAGATCTGTACATGAACAACTGGTTGGCTTTGTCAGCCCAACATGAAGCTGTATAATATGATCACCTGCTCCAATTCTGTTCCAAACAAAGTTGCCATCAAATCCTCCTAAATATGCTACACAGATAAATAATACAGATTAGTTAATATATACATTAAGTGGTTTTCTTCATGAATGTGATTTATAAAGTATCAACTATTTTCTCACCTCCAAAAGCAAGTATCATGTGGCCAAAAGGTGGACCACTCTCATCAATAAAAAACACTTGCTTCATGTACAGAGACAGGAACTGTCCATAATAAACTTCATCAAACCTTTAGCAGTACACAAACATGACATACATAGGTGACTTTATTTCAATAAATAAAAATGTTTAAAAAATAATTATTAAACGCAGACTTACACTACAGCTTTAGGAAAGTGGATGCCATTTAGTCTGGTCACGAGCGCAAGTGCTGTCACTGCCACCAGCAGCAGATTGATCTCCACTGTCACACTGATGGGCAGTTTCACACACTGCATCCTCCCTGAACAAGATCATACATTCATCAAGCAAACAGATATTACTAACTTATACGTATTCATTTCTGCTGCATCTACAATAGCAGAATCCAGCTTGGAAAAGGAATTTTGCATATGATGTAAATGCATTTAGTTTTAGTTTTTTTACCTTGCTTCAGTTAAGTTAGGTTTAGTTCTCATGAGTTTCGAAATCATAGGTCAACACTGCTGATTTCCAGTCTACATGTGCTACATGTTTCTTTTCGCAAAAAATCAGTGCATACATATTCGCTAAAACTTGAATTGATTAAAAAATGCAGCCATGTCTCTGCCACAATCGACAGCCCTAGCCTTTACTTTAAGAACATTAAAATTTGTTGGGGACCAATTTGTAAAAAAAAAAATTAAAAAACCGGATGTGGTCTGTGCGCTTGTGTTTCCGGGCAGTATCACTCAAAATTCAAAATAAAAGTTCAAACATTCCTGCACTAGATGATCAGTTCAAACATTCCTGCACTAGATGAGTCCCTTTCAAGTATGTGGATGTTTTCTGTTGTTTAAAAAATGTGCACAAATTCTTTTAAGGCAAACATACAAATAAAAAGGCAAAACAAGTGCTTATTATAATATTTTTTTTTTTAAATACAACAAGCAATAAACTGTTCAGATTTAGATAAAATGTAAAGCTTAACATGTTCTGGTTAATGTGATGATTCAAATACCTGTGATCACTTACAAAACAGCTGAGTGAATTGAAGAAACTGACTTTATATATCCACTAAAAATCATCTTGAGATCATATTATCTGTTTTGTTTTAACGTAATTGGACGAATAAAAGTATGCATCATTTGTTTGATGATGCTATTTTGCTTGTGTGTAAAATAAATTAAAGTTCAACTTCATGCTTTTAAAAGTTACTTTTTGGGACCATTGTATAAGATGTTTCATGTGTAGTTTTAAGTAAGTTACTTTGCATTTAGTGTTAGAAGATGTGTAAAAAAATAAATCAAACAAATACTGTAAGTGTGTGAAACAACTGACACATCCTTTATCCACACTGCTTGTTTTATGTACTGTAGGATCGCATGGGATGCTGGAGCCTATTTCAACACACAATTGACACAAATAAAATGAAATAACCACAGGTAATTTATGACTTTATTTAAACATTTAAGTCAAATTAGCTGACAAATCACAGTTCAGGAAAATGTTTTCACAGGACAATCACAGAGGTAAAAAGAAAAAGGTAAATTATTTTTGCATTTTAACATTCAAAAGTGAAACGTTAAGCAACATAAACAGAATGGAGTGTAAAATAAACAACATTTAACAAACCTATAGCATTACACATTCACGAACATGTGCTATTTAAAAGATATGAAAATGAAAAAAGGACAGAATATATTGCTTTGAGGTTCACAAAAAGACTAATATAATTTCCTTGGGAATAAAAACAAGAGCAGTTGTGGCAGATTCTCTGTAATTTTGTACACTGCAATCACAAAACGTGTCACAAACTCACCTTAGAAAGGTACACTATATGTTATGGAAGCACATACTGCACATTGGAACAAATTTCACACAAAACACTTGCCCGTTTACTCCGAAAATGAGGAACGATATTTAATTTAGCATCCTATCCAGAACTGAAGGAATGTATTACTGTGGAATATATAAAAATAGTGTTACATTAAAAACTACCTCTATAATTAATTTGCAAAGCACAATATAGAATAAAAATGTAAAAAGAAACAATAACTGTGTCTAACTTAAAGATATAATTAGACATTACCAACTAAAAAGTTATCATGCTTAATTTAATTAAATCCAGTAAATCCTAATTTCAAGAAACAAGTATTTTATAAAATCCCCAATACTTCATGAAAAAAAAAGTTGTAAAATAATTTGCATGATTTTGCATTTGAAAATGTAACAGAAAACTTCACATTATATAATTGGTAGTTATATAATGCAAATAATAAGTGCATTATACAATGCATAGGCGGCCTGTATTAATACAAGACCCACGAATCTGCTAAACTATTTTTGCCCTATAGCGTTTTGATCTGCGTGCAGGTGTCAAGTCAGTTATGGCTTTTCTTTTCCTCTGTTTCGCTGTTTGTTGTTCTTCTGACTCCTCGGAATCGGATTCATCTTCCTTAGTGTTCTTTTTAGAGTCATGCATTTGCAGTCTCATTGATCTTCGTCTGCTTGAAGATGTACTTGAGCTACTCTGAAGAACATGCTTTTCAATGGCAAGACCTTTCTCATCCTCATCAGAGACATTTTCTTCACCTTCATCAGATTTTTCTGCAGATGTGAATATGACGTCTTTTGCGGCCTCCGTGGCCACTCTGCTGTCCTCATCTGCTTTGTTTTCTTCTTGATCAGATGTTTCCTCTTCCTCCAACTCTAAAGTGAAGCCCTCATTTGCATTTGTACTGGACTCAACCTTTTGCTCTTCTGCCTCCACATGTTGCTCTATCACTTCCTCCAATTCACCTGCCTCTTCTACTTTCCTGCTATTTTGCTCCATAACCTCGTCGTTATCCTCATCTGTCTGAGGTTTATTTACTCTTTTCTCTTTATGCTTCTCTTGAGATTCACCTGCATCTGTCTTGGTGTCTTCATGTATATTACAATCTCCATCTGATTTAGTCCCTTCTGCATTTTTCTGGATTTTCTGTTGTGTTCCTCCACCCAAATTACTGCCCTCAAAAACTGCTGCAGGTACATCTGAGCTCAGCTCTACATTCTCTGTTGTAAATGTCACTTCTACTGTCTCAGTTTGTTGCATAACTTCTTTGACTTGCTTGCTATCTTCATCATGCTCTTGTTTGCGAAGACGTTTGGATTTTCTTGGAGCAGCCGTTTCAACAGTCAATCTTTTTCTCAGGGTTCTACTTTCCACTGTTGTTTCCTCCAAATCAAAAGAACTTCCTTGCACTGCTCCCTCAGTTTCTTTTTCCTGGAGTGGTTTCTCTTCCGCCTGTACACTAGAGACTTCTTCCTCCTCCTGTTCTGTAGGCACCTGTACATCTCTCTTAAGATTTTCCTCTCGAGTCTTGTTCTCCTCAGTGTTGTCTGGGCAGGCACTGTTACTTTCATTGATTTCAAACAGGATTTCATTTCCTTCCTTTGTCCCTGTTTCCTCTGCCTTTCCTTCTATATTTACCTGAATAATGCCTTCTCCCTCTTTTGTCTTTAAATTTTCAAATTCAGTAATGCTCTCCTCAGCATTTAATGCCTCATTCTCCTTCTCGATATTTAAATCATCAGCTGATTTCTGTATTGCTGAGTCATTTTCATTTCCACATATGTTGTCCTTTGTTTCTTTTTCTGACGCCACCTCTTGTCTGTGGAGGCGTTTTGATTTTCTTCTTGGTGTAGACTGGACTGTTACTGTCCGGTATCTGAGACTTCTTCTTGTAATGAAAGATGCCTCTTGATCGGAGCTTTCTAAAGCAACCTTCCCCTCCGCAGCTGTTGTCTTAAATTCATTTGTCAGATTGGTTTCCCCCACATTTTCCTCTTTTGACACTGCTTCTTCTTCTTGAGTAGCATCCTCTTTTACTGAGCTTGTTCTTGCTTCATCTTCTCCCTTCTGTTGAGTATTCTCCTCTGGTTTCTGGTCTGCGTTTTCCTGTTCAGGCTCTGCTTTTTCTTCATCTTGAACTCCCCCTTCTACAACTTTTTGTGTTTTATCCATTTCCACCAGAATTTCATTTTCAGTTGTTTTAATCGAGCTCTTGGTCTCATCTTCTTGTTCATCTGTTGATTTGTCAAGCAAAGCTTCATCCACCTTTCCCTTATCATTTGATATGTCTTTCTCTTGCTCATATGAAGTAGTTTCCACATTTCTACTCATGAAAACCACATCTCCATCTTCATCAAGACTTTCCATGTTGGTCTCTACTGTAATAATTGGTACACAGACATTCACAGTCTCTACTGTCGTTGATGAGGTTTCTTCATTTCTACTCCTATCTGCTTCTTTCACTGGTTCCAACTCTGCTGTGTGGAGACGTGTAGATGTTCTGGTCTTCTGTGTAGATGTGGCTGGCTGTGCACTGATCCTCAGACTTCTCCTTGTGATTCTTTCGCTTTTATTGTCATTGGTTTCAGAGATTTTCATCTGTGAGACCTCCTCTACTTGAATGGTGGTCTCCTCTGTAACGTATGTTTGCTCCTTGCAAACCACTGAAACTTTATCCATCTCCGTGTGTTTTTCTGACTCATTTTTAACCAATGACTCATTTTCATGTTGCTCTAAATTGGCTTCTTCTCTTTCCATCTCAGGAGCCGCATCGTTCTCTAAGCTTTGTTCCTTGTTCTCCATCTTGTTGATTTCTTCAAATCCCTTTTCTGCATTCGCATCAGGTTCTACATTTTTTATATCCTTATCAGGTTCTCCTTCTACAAGTGGGACAACCTTCTCAGTATCCTCTTCCACTGGCTCCAATTCAGCTAAACGTGTTTCCTCGTTCCTCATGTTGACCTCTTGATCCATTTCTTCAACTGTCTCTTCTGTCATTGAGATTGCTTCAGTTTTATTCTTGGTCACAACTGTGTGTCTTTCCTGATGATCAACATCTGCTTCAGCTTCTTGATTTTGTACACGTCTAGATTTCCTTCTTGGTGGAGACTGAACTATTATTTTTCTATGTCTGAGACTTCTCTCTGTGCTGACTGGTACCTCTTCTTCTAAGATTTCCTGGACAGCTTCTGGTGCCTCCTGAGCAAGACTGCTCATCTCTACATCACTGTCTGTTTGTTTCTCTTTTAAAGCAACATCTTGATAATTTTCTGTCTCCTTAATTATATTAGCTTTGTCTGCCATTGTTGTTGCTTCTGGATGTTCTTTAGATGTTACAGTTTCTTCCACATCCTCATCTATGACTGCCTTATATTCCTCTACAATCTCTGTCTCATTTTCATCATTTTTTCCTTCTAAAACTTCTGTAAGTTTCTGCTGCTCAAATGTTATGATTTGTTTATCAAGTTTGTTCTGCTCTTCAACTGTGTTTTCTTCCTCCACTTTGTCCTCTTCTTCCACAGGGGTCTTTTCCGTATTTTCCTCTTTTTGTAGTTCTTCTTGCTGTTCCTCATGTTCGGATGTCTGGATACGTAGTTGATATTCACTTTTATCTGGTTCATCCAGTTCCAGTTGTTCCTCTGTCTGGGAATTCGTTAAGACTTTTGGAGTGTCACTCTCTCCTTCTGTGCTTTGGGAAAGGTTGTTTAAATCTACAAGTACTACTGTGGCTTTTTGCAGCTGTATTATTGGAGTACCATCATCTTTCTCTGCCTCTTCATCGGGTTCTGCTTCTACAAGTGTGACCGCCTCTAAAATCTTAGGTGCCTCCTTTTTATTGTCTGTTTCTACACCCATCAGCAGTACAGACGTCTCAGGTCCAACAGCTGAAGTTTTCTCAACATTTGTGTTTGGTATTTCTTCAGGACTTTCCAAGTTGGTCTCTACTGTAATTATGGGTATACCCACATTCACAGTCCTTTCTGTTGCTGCTGAGGTTTCTTCATATTCATTTCTACTCATATTTGCTTCTTTTACTGGTTCCAACTCTGCTTTGTGGAGACGTGTAGATTTTCTGGTATTCTGTGTAGATGTGACTGATTTTGCACTGAGCCTGAGACTTCTCCTTGTGATCCTTGCATTGTCACTTTGATTGATTTCAGTGCTTTCCACCAGTGAGACCTCCTCTATTTGAATGGTGGTCCCCTCTATAACATTTGTTTGCTCCTTGCTAACCACTGGGTCCATCTCCATGGGTTTTTCTGTCTCAGCTGTTTCTTTCTCATTTTTAAACAATGGTTCATTTTTCTGTTGCTCTAAATTGGCTTCTTCTCCCATCTCAGGTGCCTCATCATATGTGTCCTTTGTCACAGCTAAATTTGTTTCTTTGTTTTCCATTTTGTTAATTTCTTTAGCTTCTTTTTCTACTACACCCTCTTCGGGTTCTGCTTCTACAAATGGGATCACATTATCAGTAGCCTCAACAGTTGATTTTTGAGATGCTTGCTCTTTCTCTTTTTCTGCACCTTGATCCACTTTGTCAGCACTCTTTTCTGTTATTTGGACTATTTCAGTTTTTTCAGTAAGACTGCTCACTCCTTCATCCTCATTCCGGTTGATGTCATTTTTAGTGCTTTCCACCAGGTTGTTCTGAGCTGGCATTGTGGCCAAATCTTCTATTGGCTTTTGCTCCTCAAATGTCATGTCTTGTTTATCAAGTTTTTTCTGCTCTTCAACTGTGTTTTCTTCCTCTATTTTTTCTTCCTCATGGATCATTTCAGTGTCTTCCTGTGTTTGTACATGTTCTTTTTCTTGATCATCTATTTCTACACCCATCAGTATATCAGATTTCTCAGTATCAACAGCTGCAGTTTCCACAGTGTTTGAGTTTGCCATATCATCAAGACTTTCAAAACTGGTCTCTGTTGTAATAATCGGTAAACAACAGACAATCACAATCTCTTCTGTTGATGCTGAAGTTTTTTCATCTCCATTTCTAATCATGTCTGGTTCTTCCACTGGCTCCAACTCAGCTAATTTTGCTTCCTTGTTTTCCATCTTGTTGACCTCTTGATCAATTTCTTCAACTCTCTCTTTTGTCATTGGGATTGCTTCAGTTTTATTCTTGGTCACCACTGTGTGTCTTTCCTGATGATCAACATCTGCTTCAGCTTCTTGTTTTTGTACACGTCTAGATTTCCTTCTCAGTGGAGATTGAACTCTTATTGTTCTACGTCTGAGATTTATCTCTGTGCTGACTGGTACCTCCTCTTCCTGGACATCTGTCTCCTGAGCAAGACTGCTCATCTCTATGTCACTGTTTGTTTGTCCAGCTAAATTCGCTTCCTTGTACTCAATCTTTTTGATTGCTTTAACTTTTTCTTTTACATCCTCATCAGGTTCTGCTTCTACAAGTGGGATGTTTCCCTCAGTAGTCTCTGTAATCTGAGGTGTTTTCTCTTCTGTAGCTTTCAGCAGTTCAAAACTTCCAGATTCAATGACTACTGTTTCATCAACATCTGTGTTTGCCTTGTCACTCTCCTCTGGACCTACATCCTCTGCAATAACTTCATCCCTCTCATCAGTCCTGAATTTGGCCTTGTGTTGTGGCGCAACACTTTCTACCTGCTGAATCACTGCTTTGCTACGTGTAGATCTCCTAACAGGTGTGATCTTTATTTGTTTCAAAGTGCTTCTGAGACATCTAACCGTCACCCTAGGGTCAACAGTTTGATCTCCAAGATTTGTTGATCTACTTGGGGTGTCGGTAGATCCTTTCTTTTGTGCATCCACTTTAGCTTGTTCAGTGTTTGTTTTCTCCTCTGGTTTCTCAACTTGGCTTAGAAGAACAACTTCTGTGGTTTCTGGTTCTAGCTCACCCTCTTGTTCTTTGTATCCAGTTGATTGTTCTGGAGTTCTTTTGGCATCAGTTGCTACATTATATCCTTTTGTTGTGTCCAATGTACCATCTTGTTCCTCCATTATCATAATTTCTTCAGCTGCTTGTTGCTCAGATGACATTGTGTGCTTCATTTCATCTTGTTCAGCAATATCTATCTCTCTGTTATAATCACTCGCCTCTTCAGGAGAAAGTGTATGCAAATCTACAAGCACAACTTTGGCTTCACTCAATGTCAACATCTTAGAGCTATTCTCGACTGTCTTCTGGTCCTCTTCAGGTGTTGTTTTCCATTTATGTACCTCAGCAGACTCTACGGATGACTGTTGTGGTGCTTCTTCTTGGTCTATTTCTGAAATTTCAGGAACTACATCTACATTTTCCCCCTGTGTGATTTCAGCGTCCATAGTAGAATCAGTTTCCACTTTAAGCTCTTCTTTTTCTCTGTATTCCTCAACCTCAGATTCTGATTCTGCTTTGTTAGCAAGAGTCTCTGATTGATCTGTCGCCTCTTCTACAGCTTTTGTATTGTTATACATTTCAACAGTCCCACTCATAGCCTTTTCCTCTTCAGGTTCATCCAGCATTTTTATTTCCTCCTCCTCTGTCTCACACACAGGTTTATCTTCCTCAACCTCTTTGTTCTTTTCTAAATTCTCATTTTGTTCCTCTTCAGTTCCTGTACTCATCTTTACAATTTCTATATCCACCACAGACTGAAGTTGGTTTTGGTCAATAGACCCTATAGTGGCTCCTTGTTTTACAACAGTGTGCTCCACATTAACAATTTCACATTCCTCTTCACTGCCTCTCTGGCTCTTTACTTCCCCAGCTGTGGTGAGGTGGGTGACTGGAGTCCCCTCTGATGTAGCTGTGTCTTTTTCAATTTCATGTTCCTCCTCTTTCTGTGAACTTCTAAGCTCTGATATGTTTGTCACAGTTGCAGTTACTGTGTCTGTTGTACTCTGCCAAATTAGAGAAGATGGATGTTAATTACTGTACTGAAAGTGTAAAAAATTTGAATAAATTACATTTTAATTAAACAAAGTACATAATTATACTGTTCAAGCTGTTTAGTAATGAAAAAACATGACCCATAGGTTTATTTGGTTGAATTCATACCCTGAGTACAGTTTCTGATTCTTTTACAGAAAAAGTGTCATCAAGATGTTCCTCAGTTGCCACCTCAATTGGACTTTCAACTCCTGCCTCAATGTCTTCCACCCTTTGAGAGACATAGTTAATTGTACACAATGTAGTATTTAATAGTGTTATGGTATTCTGCTGACAAGTAATATGATACCTGATTATGATCTTTGAAAGCCTCTCCTCTGAATTTTCTCTGATACCTCTGCGTTTCAGGCTGCTACTTCTGCCACGCCTTGAGACTGGTACGTCATCTACTTCTGTAACAGTGAAGAACATCAGTTAGATTAGGCAGGAGAGTCTTTATTGAACAAATTATTGTTCAACAAAAAGATTATACTTGCCTTTGGTGATGTCTGTAATGGTCTCCTCCTAAAGTTAATATCAACATTAGATATAAGAATTACTTCATAATATACTTCATAATTTACAGATGCAATATGAATTTAAAGATTCAGTCTTTTTTTAATGTGCATTGGATCAAAAATCTTTCATATGCATCCATCTTGACATTTATATAATAATCAAAATGTTAAAAATTGAATCAGTTGCCAACTAATTTTGTGAGTTGATGAATTTCATTTGCATATGCCGGCGTGATGTATCCCGATCTTCCAGCAGAAGGAACTGGATAAAATATCCTGAATGATATCGCTTCCACAATCTGACTTGTGATGCCTGGTATCACAATCACACCATGTGCGTTCATTTGGCCAGAGGAGAACTGGTCTCCCGACTGAGCCCGGTTTCTCCCAAGGTTTTTTTCTTCTCCATTCTATCACCATTTGGGTTTCTTGTCACTTTAGCTTGCTTAGTTGGAGACACTTAATAGTCAGCAATATTACTGACTTGACTGAACTGACACTATCGGATCAGAACTGATTGGATGATGAACTTCATTGTTTTCTTCAGAGCTGCTTAATTGCTGAATTGAACATTTGAGAATTGAACATTGTTAATCATGTTGAATTGTTCTGAATTTGCCAAAAACGATTTTGAACTAATCAAATCTATTTTCTGTCAACACAAAGTTAATTAATACAAAGGTAACAGAATCAGAAATTAATTTACCACTATCTCCACTGTGTTTTCAATGGTTTCCTGAACCTTTGTGATCTCGATTTCCATTGGAGCAGCATCTTCCACAAATTTCAGTTTGCTCACAACCTGGTCCTTCTCTGCTAATAAAGAACGACATTATTAGGGCTGCAATCCATTAAAAAATGTAATCAGATTAATTGCATGATATGCTAATTAATTCATTAATCAAATTTATTATCACAAGTAATCGCAAATATCAATATTTGCAGAGAAAAAAAGCCACCAGATTAACGTGATTCAAAGACATCATTGTGTCAGACAAAAGCACTGAATAGACAAAAAATGGCTTTGGAAGTCAATGTATTGTTTGTTTCTCTATTTACATATCACTGAAGCTAAAAATACAGATATTTTCCTTACCTTGTAGCTTCAACTTCTGTAGCCTGTTTGCTATTAGAGTTCTCTGGAAAGGGCTTCCTATTTTCTCTACTTCCCACAGAATCTCTTTGTCTGCTGGATGTATACTGAAGTACTTCTCACAAACTGTAAAGAAAGAGTTTGGAGATACAGAACGTAGAAACCAGGAATGATATCTGTTATGTGAGCAAAGGTGACATTTGACCATAAAGTAAGTCTGTTTCTATACCTTTATAAATAGCTTCAGAAAGAGGAAACTTCAACCCTATATACTCCTTTCTGAAGCTACCAACAAAGTCTTCCAGTATCTTTACGCCATGACCCTTGCCCCGGTGACACTTCCTGACAAATAATGTGTCCATGACAGGAAGTTGATAGCACTGGGTCAAGAAGTTTCTGCACAAGCTACCTGTAAGTAAAGAGTAATATGACGGGAGGTTTTTTTATGTAAAAACAACAAGTATGGTCTAGAAGTGTATATGAGGCTTTAAAGGAACTGTCATTACCTTTGGGTTTGTATGAGTAAAAGCCAATGGCCTCTCCATCCTTCCATAGTATTTTCGCACTTTCATGCTCACAATGGCAGAGAAAGGAAACATCTTCACTGCTCTTCTCATTTCTCAACACAATTCTGTTGAGAACATATAGGACTATCCTCTCCCCAAGAGTGCTGACCTACGATAAGCATGGCACTAGTCTTGTAGTAGTTATAAAAAATTATTCAACTAATTCAAAATAAACATTACTGGCCTTCCATAAAAAAAAGAGAAAACACTGACCTTGATCAGGCCCGTTCTTGAGGGCTCTGCTGTTTTAAGAACATCTTCAACTCCCCACCACTGGCCCAACAAATAAAGCCCAACAACTGCAGGTATAATGTAGTAAGTCTGGTAAAATATACAGCATTAACATCACAATAAGTTACAAATGATTCCGATTTTCATAACTTCTGACCATATTACCTGTGGTAAAGTCATCAGGTAAGAACAATGCAAGGAGCTTCTTTTTAGTATCTGTTCCATATAGAGGGACAAAACTCACATTGCAGAGTCCAATCTCTATCTGTCACCAAGAGAACATACTTGAAAATGTGAAAATGTTTTAAAGCCACATTCATATAAGAATTGTTGTTTATTGCCATCAAGAAAAAAAAAATATATATATATATATATATATACACTCACCGGACACTTTATTAGGTACACCTGTCCAACTGCTCGTTAACACTTAATTTCTAAGCAGCCAATCACATGGCGGCAAACTGCATTTAGGCATGTAGACATGGTCAAGACAATCCCCTGCAGTTCAAACCGAGCATCAGTATGGGGAAGAAAGTTGATTTGAGTGACTTTGAACGTGGCATGATTGTTGGTGCCAGAAGGGCTGGTCTGAGTATTTCAGAAACTGCTAATCTACTGGGATTTTCACGCACAACCATCTCTAGGGTTTACAGAGAATGGTCCGAAAAAGAAAAAACATCCAGTGAGCGGCAGTTCTGTGGGCGGAAATGCCTTGTTGATGCCAGAGGTCAGAGGAGAATGGCCAGACTGGTTCGAGCTGATAGAAGGGCAACAGTGACTGAAATAACCACTCGTTACAACCGAGGTATGCAGCAAAGCATTTGTGAAGCCACAACACGCACAACCTTGAGGCGGATGGGCTACAACAGCAGAAGACTCCACCGGGTACCACTCATCTCCACTACAAATAGGAAAAAGAGGCTACAATTTGCAAGAGCTCACCAAAATTGAACAGTTGAAGACTGGAAAAATGTTGCCTGGTCTGATGAGTCTCGATTTCTGTTGAGACATTCAGATGTTAGAGTCAGAATTTGGCATAAACAGAATGAGAACATGGAACCATCATGCCTTGTTACCACTGTGCAGGCTGGTGGTGGTGGTGTAATGGTGTGGGGGATGTTTTCCTGGCACACTTTAGGCCCCTTAGTGCCAATTGGGCATCGTTTAAATGCCACGGCCTACCTGAGCATTGTTTCTGACCATGTCCATCCCTTTATGGCCACCATGTACCCATCCTCTGATGGCTACTTCCACCATGTCACAAAGCTCTAATCATTTCAAATTGGTTTCTTGAACATGACAATGAGTTCACTGTACTAAAATGGCCTCCACAGTCACCAGATCTCAACCCAATAGAACATCTTTGGGATGTGGTGGAACGGGAGATTCGCATCATGGATTTGCAGCCGACAAATCTGCGGCAACTGTGTGATGCCATCATGTCAATATGGACCAAACTCCCTGAGGAATGCTTCCAGCACCTTGTTGAATCTATGCCACGAAGAATTGAGGCAGTTCTGAAGGCAAAAGGGGGTCCAACCCGTTACTAGCATGGGGTACCTAATAAAGTGGCCGGTGAGTGTATATATTCAGCAATAATATGAAACTTTCCTGAGAATTAAATATGCATTTTGAATGCAGACATTATAGATTGCACCTCGCATCTTACCTGTTTGGAATCAGGTAGTCTGAGGTACTCAGCTGTGTCAGGATTTCTGTAGAGGATCTGAGACATGTATTCCTCGGCTGCCAGCTCTAAGAACTCGTGATCCACATTTGTCAGAATATCTACAGGGAATGCCATCCTATGGAAGAAATTATATGTTTTTGTTTTTTAAAAATCCCACTCACTTGTATGTCTTAACTTGGCTATAAGTCGTAAACGATAATGTATGACTGCTTTTTGTCCCGTTATCACAGCTTTTTGGACTCATGAGTGATCGAACTACGAGTTTGTTAATCCATGGTATTTGCTTTTGCTGAAGCCGTCAGCACATATTATTTCAGCTTATTTTTTAAATAATCGTGTTTAAAAGCGGAATTCTTGGTAAAAAAAAAAAAAAAAAAAACCTGCATTACCCATGATGCTTTATAGAAAATACACCAATCACGGAGTCGAAAAAAGCAACACATGCCAAAATAGATTTTTAGCTCCGCCCACTCCCATGAAACACTCATTTAATCATGTAACCGGAGCCGATCTTGCAACGGTTTCAAAATACTTATGTTTGTAAATAATATAGCCTATATATATATATATATATATATGCATAATTTATACTAAACTTAAAATATGTTGTTTTTATATAATAAACCAACCCTCATAAATTAGTATTTTGTATTTCTCCATCATTTTTTTATTTGATTATTTATGCTGTTCGCAATGCTTCATGGATTAATAACTCTTTCCCTCACTAAAGGTGTTACACAGTCTTCTTTGTCTTTTTGTCTGATTTTCAGAAATGTTTTGCTTCAAATCAAAGTTTTTAGTGTTGTGATTCACCTCGCAGCTGATTGGCTTGGTTCATGGCTTATACCCTCTTTAACAAAGACTTTTTTATAAATCCCTATTGGAAAAATGAATGGAAAAAAATTACTTCCGGAACCAGCACCGACGCAAAAGGAAGCGGGCGATGTTGCACTCTATTACTTTTTAGTGTCACATGATCCTTCAGAAATCATTCTAATATGCTGATTTGATGTTCAAAAAACATTTATTACATTATCAATGTTGAAAACGGCACAACTGTTTTCAACATTGATAATGTAATAAATGTTTCTTGAACATCAAATCAGCATATTAGAATGAGTAACATTTTTGTAGAAACTGTGATGCATTTCTTTCTTGATTCTTGCCTGATGAGCATAGTGAAACATAATTTTGTTTGAATGGCAGAATATGCATAGAACCCTTTAAACAAAAATAGTATAGCAAAGATTCCTTTTCGACCTTAAAAAAATAGGATTTCAGAAATAATCTAGATTTACTGTTCTGAGATTCTTTGTTCAGTGTAGATCCCGTTATCACAGATGTCATTTTGGCATCTAACTTAGAGTTTGGCACTACAACGCAAGGGGCTTCATATATTTTTTTATGTATTTACCTCTTTAACTGTGGCATTTTTGGAATGTGGTAAATGCTGCTTGCGGCACAAGGCTAAGAATTGCGTGATAGAAGTGACAGCTGGTTTTGACGATTATTGCAGTGGAGATAGAAAAATATATCATGGAAAGCTTAATGAGGAGGTGTGGCACACCAGAATGCCTCATCTCAACCACATAGACATTAGTAGTTCTTTTGCATTTCATAAGAAGTAGCTATAGAGTCCTGGAGCTGAAGAACATATGGGAGGAGCAACGTCTGTAACATAAACACAAAAACAAAGAGTAATCTGTGCTGTGGGCCCCTTTTACGGTTTGGCACATTTGTTTTAATCTGTAAAGTTGTCTTACATTCTGCATCCAAGGCTTTCGTCTTAAAGATCAAGTGTGTAATTGAATATGTGTAGAGACCGCAGAGAAACAGATTATACTTATATACTACCTTTTAAAGTGCTAATCGCAATGATAAATGACATACACTGTAAACTTTTGCAGTTTTATTAGGGAAAAACATTGAATACAAAGCAGACACTAGATGCTACAAGAATGAGTCAATATGTAATTAATTATGCATTTATGAGCACAGACTGAATGTTAGCTTGTGCCTGAACCAGTCAATACAAGAATGTGTTGTTAGTAAGCCACATAAAACAAAGTGGGTTTGTTCATGTTTGTGCCTATATACTTGACAGGGAAATTCGTTAAGGGCTGCCATATGAATTAGTCAATGGCCCTTCTGTCAGGAAACATTACCAGTGAGGCAGAAGAGCAAGCTTTGTGTGTGTCTGTGTGTTTGGGTTTGCTGAGAACCAGATAGACACCTTGTACACACCTGCAGGGCAACATATGAATATCAGCTCTTTGCAAAAACATGCTCACCGTAAACTACAACTGGTTATATCTGGTTGTCTGGAAGATTTCAAATATAACAGCTAACTAGCTCTGCAGCTTATAGGTTATAATGATGTGGTAGATTGACAAAATTGATGACAAGAAGTTAATGTCAACTTCAAATGAACTCCCTCTTTTAAAAGCCAGTCATGTATGGATTCAAACGATCAATTCAAACCTACCAATGATATTAGGTTAAAAGGTTGCTCTCCAATTTTAAAATTGCACTGCATTCTTATATCCTCCATATAAAAGAACAGCAGACTTTTATGAAATTTAGGCCTATTGTACACAGAACAAATTTAACATTGCCAATGTTCGTTTAAAATAGTAGGAGGTGCTTTGCACATGGCATTTACATGTGACAGGCCAACATGAAAACAAGTCATGCACAAATTTTACACATCCACTCAACACATTAGCATGTGTGCTATATATGGTCTCAACATTTATCTGCTGCATGCATTCAAATAAAATAAAATAAAATAATTAAATTAATAAATGACTTTGAGATAACACTTGGGAGCAGTCACCTGAAACAAACCACCAATTGTAATATATTATACAATACATATAGCCTATTATTTCATATTATACAACGTACACACTATTTTAATGAAGCTTTTAATATAAAGCAGGGGCGTAGCCAGTATTGGGCCAGGGCGGCACTGGCCCGCCCACATTACTCACTGGCCCGCCCAGACAAGTTTGATAAAAATACATTTTTAGTTTATTTTTATTCAAATGTATTTAAGAAAATATATTAATATATACCTGATTTATTGTTGACTGCTGTGTGTGTTTAATTCGTTTTCCGAATAAAACGGAACTGTCGAAGCAAGTTGTAGAAAGCCTCTCTCCGGAACGTTATTGGTTGCTATGGTTGCTGGGGGTTCCGACAGGAAAACTCACAGCGGCGTCGGCGCCACAATAATGGCTAAACAACTTTCTTTAATGTGCTATTTGAAAAAAGCAAGAGTTGAGGAAGAAGACACGCCACTGCCTTCATCTACCGAGTCCCAGTTCTTCAGATTCATTACCCCAGGAGAAGGCTAGTCAGGTGCTGGTGGCGGCTGCTTCTTGCTCCCTCTCTCCTGGTCAGCCTGACGCGGGTTTATCCGCCGATCTAACTGTGATATTATTATTTTAGCTTACTTTATTTTCGGGTGAAATGTCTTTGCATTGCTGACTAGCCTGAATAAAATAGACAGGTTATTGTCTAATGTCTACACTGGTTTGTCCAGCCTTTATTAAGCTCTGTTGGTTGAACATGATGATTTGCCGAATATAAAGCTGTAGCAGCTAACTGTTTTTGCAGTTTGTCGATTCATTTTTCTACTATCTAAGGTTAATTATTACTGAAGTCATTTTTTTCTATGAAAAACTATAGGCCCACTCACATTTTCACTGGCCCACCCAAAATAAAATTTCTGCCTACGCTACTGATATAAAGAAAGATATCAAAGGCAAGATAAAGTTAAAATGCTAAAATTCCAGACGAATTTCATGTAAAGCGCACGCTTTATCTAAAATATAATGGCAGAAAAGGTCCTATGGTCAGTGAGATGCATGGGGCCCCTAACAAAAGCCCTGAAAAGGTTCGGGAAAGCAGAGTGGGTGTGTGCGTCCCGCCACGCTGCAGGAGGAATCCCTGCATTTAAAGTCCCACGAACCAAAACAAACCTTTATCTAATTCAACACTTCTTGCACATGTTCCTCGATCTCAGCTTGAGACTAAATAATCTAAATATATACGAGAATATCCCTAAAAAAACCTTTGTCTGCTATTGAACGACAGTCGAAGTGTGCTTCGAGAGGTTTTGAGTACGGATGGCCAATTGGGCTGTGCGCGCTGTTTAAAAAAAAAAAATCTTTAGAAAAACATCTATATTTAACGAGTGTGGGCCTAAGCTCACTCTTTAGGTGGACCGAGCAGGATTCGTCAAGTAAAACGCTGGCAAAATATGCAGCCCCCGAAAGCTTGCAATTGCATAACATAGGCTACAGCGCACAATACATGTGTCATTAATAATGAACTAACTTAATTAAAATTTATGGACTTGCTCTTACATGTTCTGCAATTGTGTAAGAGTGTTAAAACAGCTTAACGCAAACGATTCTCGACATAGAATGACAAGCCTTGGGTAAAAGTGAAGAATTTTAATAAATATGCATGATTCATTAAACAGCGGAACTCGAGCAGGAGCGAGAAGCTTAGTAAACAAACACTAATCCAGTGCGCTGATGATGCGTGCATGGCACGTCACGCCATTAGTACACTGTTCTGATTTGAAGAACAAGAATAACGACAAAGCATTTGTTATAGAAAGAAAGCTGAACCTACCTGTTTGTTTGTTTGTTTTTTAAATTCCCGTCGATTAGGCTATAATATGTTTTAATTCCCGTAAACCTCCGTGACTGAATATTACGTGGCTGTTACATAGTAGTTGTGTATTTAAGCGTGAGCTCGAGCCCCCTCCCTCACTCTCTTTCCCTCCACTTTGAGAAGCGCACGAGCAGCCAACGGGAGATGAGCGCTCAATCGCGTTATGCAATCACATTCACACTGCTCAAAACCTTCTACATTCCGGGCATTAATCTGGAACGCGTTTGATATTCAAAGCAAACCAATTTGAAATAGCACATTTTTATTAGTGGAATTTAGAAGTAAATAACTAAATCGTAAGGAGTTGCTATAGGCCTATCAGAAGAAAAAAAAAAAGCTTGCATGTTAATGTCTGGCATGGCTACTAGTCAAATGTAGAATCTGACTTCACCTGAAAGAAAATCTGATGCAGAAGATCATTCAGAGAAAGATGAGACTGGTCAGACACTATAATGTGCAATGACAGAAAAAATATAACTGTGGTATATGGCATGCATGCAAAAATTAAAATATGCTTTGAGGTTCCTAGAACAATATTCAACATATTGGGTGGGAGTCAAGCCCAATGGTAAATCTGGCCATGCATGCATGGTTTACAGTCCCAACATTAGAGGAAGACCCCACATAGGCTTTAGCCTTATCAGCTAGTGGGCAATTTACTTCACATACTATCATTTAGTTATTGTACAGTTATTGAAAAACTATTGCTATAACCTTCAACAAAACTGAAGTATTTTGTCTCATCTTGCGAAATTATTACTTTAGATCAAATTACCTCAAATCTATTTTTTTTGAATGCACACAGTGAAATCAAGGATCAGAAATTTTGCAATATAGTGACAAACATAACATAGAGCTTAAAGTATTAGTTCTACGAAATTCTGTAATTAATTACTCACCCTCATGTCGTTCCAAACCCGTAAAATCTGCGGAACACAAACAAAGATGTTTTTAATGAAATATGAGGGATTTCTGTCCCTCCATTGACAGCTATGCAACTACCACTTTGACGCTTCTAAAGTTTATAAAGAGTTTGTAAAACAAATCCATATGAATTGAGCGCTTTAGTCCAAATGTTTTGAAGAGACATGATCCTTTGAACAAATTTTATGTAGGCCTTTATTCACATATAAACATTCATCAACTCACAAATTAGTTGTGGTAAATGGAAGCTCAAGCATGTTCGCTTGACGTGCGAGAACCAATGAAGTTCATTCTCATGTTATCCAGCAAGTTTGAGCTTCCGCAAGAACCAATGAGGTTCATTCTCGTGTGTTACGAAGCAAGTTTGAACTTCCGCAAGAACCAATGACGCTGCACGTTTGAGCTTCCAAAAGAATCAATCAGGTTAATTCTAGTGTTACGCAGCACGTTTGAACTTCCGCAAGAACCAATGATGTTCATTCTTGTGTTACGCAGCATGTTTGAGCTTCCGCAAGAACCAATCAGGTTCATTCTCATGTGTTACGCAGCATGTTTGAACTTCCGCAAGAAGCAATGATGTTGATTCTTGTGTTATGCAGCATGTTTGAGCTTCCGCAAGAACCAATCAGGTTAATTCTCGTGTGTTACGCTGCAAGTTCGAACTTCCAAAAGAACCAATCAGGTTCATTCTCGTGTTACGCAGCATGTTTGAGCTTCCAAAAAGAACCAATCAGGTTCATTCTCATGTGTTACGCAGCACGTTTGAACTTCCGCAAGAACCAATGATGTTCATTCTTGTGTTACGCAGCATGTTTGAGCTTCCGCAAGAACCAATCAGGTTCATTCTCGTGTGTTACGCTGCAAGTTTGAACTTCCAAAAGAACCAATCAGGTTCATTCTCATGTGTTACGCAGCACGTTTGAGCTTCCCCAAGAACCAATGAGGTTCATTCTTGCGTTACGCACCATGTTTGAGCTTCCGCAAGAACCAATCAGGTTCATTCTCGTGTGTTACGCAGCACGTTTGA